AAATTAATTTGACATCACATCACATCTGCTTTAAACACCTTGAAATTGGCCTCTGTCTCTTTAAGAAACTCCTACCCATCAAGCCCATTTCTGCATGTCATCACAACAATGCTTCATGCTGTTTACAACCAGTCTTAGGAGCATTGTATTTTCTTGTAATAATGCTAAAAAATAGCAGCAGCATTATACAATATTGGTTGTGGAAAACAGCAACTCAGGATACAATTGAACCTTACTYGAAYGATCTCACGTCGGACCCAGAAAGTGCATTTTCTGAAGAACTGGAGCAAGTAGAGAGATGAYGTTTCAGCTGGTAAGATATCTCCCAGTCATCCTCACAAACACACACATCAGCAAATTTATTTATTAATAAAATGTGGTGAAAGCCAGTTAGAGAACACAGATCATAATATAAGTTACAAACGCTAACCGTAGAGCAAACACAGACCAAACAACGGTGTGAGCAAAACAATGCGAGTTGTTTTTCACCTTACCTGGGCAGATAACAGTGTTTAAATTCTCTTTTGTTTAGTAAGTTGAAGCATGGCTAAAAACTAATGTCTGACTTTTATTTGTTTATGTTTTATAGAATTTTAAGCTATTATTACTTTTGTTAGATTCAAGTTATTTCTGAGGCCATTGTCGGTTTTTCTTTCAGTAAACGAGGGGTACCAACAGTTTTGTCCCTGTGTGTACGTATCTATCTGCTATTTTCTGTTAGTTTTCTCTTTAAAAAATGCAAGTTTAAAAAAAACAGAGAAATGCTATTGCTAAAATTTTAGTTTTTTTTATTAAAAAAGATCACTAAACTAATTCATCTTTAATTCATCATGTTATAAGAACGGTATGAAGCAGATGTTCATCACACACTTAATGTGTTGGGCACCAAGTCAGTGCAGCTGAGCTGACACACCTAAATGCTTGCTTAAGTCCTTAAAACTTACTTTCCTGCAGGACTGGTGTTGTGCCAAAAAAGTGATGGGCTGCCAAAAAATGATAAGCTACGTGAGCATGTGCAGCCTGTTTAAGTGTCTGTAACCTTGCTGCTTTAGTTCATGGAATTAAACAATGTAAACACTAAAAGATACATCTGTAGCTGTAATGCATGTCCAACAGCAAAGGTGTGTCTCCTTTTTTTTCTTTTCCAACGACGTTTTCCTTGTGTCAGTTCTGTTTGCAACTTGTCATAAATATCAGCAGATTTCAATATTAGATGTGATTATAGTAATAAAATCAGTTTTTGGCTATTTGGATGTGCTAAGCTTGCTTATTTTTTGGCACCAGACTGTGGTAAATTTAATGCAATAAAATATGAAAAATAAGTTTTTGCATTGATTCTGTTGATTTTGTTTGCCTAGTTTACATGTAATATTATAAATTATGCAGTTATTTAATAGACTTAATCCAAGTTTTATGGAGAGACACATTTCTTAGGAGGTACTAGTTTTTTTTTTCTTCATTTCTGGCACATATAAATGTGCAGCACATTGTGCCTGATGGAGTWCAGGGGGAGAGGAAAGCCTTTGACCTTGTGCAGTTCTCTGAGTGCGAAAGAAAGCTGCATGGATATAAGAAAAATCAATATTCTGCATTTAGCTGTGTATGACCCTGTGATGAATAGAGCAGCTTTCCACCATGACAGTTTGCGTTGCACCAACATGCCAAAAACGAGGGACAAAACACCTGAAGGCAGATAATTGAAACAAAAAAGGACGATTAATACAAAGAAAACTTATTTATCACAAGTTACAGCTAATTCTTCTGAGGAATACGGAATCCACAGAATTTATTTTAAGATCTTACAGCAAACGTTGCATTTTTAATACCCATACATTTAAAACTTTAAGCCTTTTTCACAACCCCAAATTTGAAAAACACCAGCTTTAAGGGGAAAGTCTGGTCATTTCTCAATGGATGTTATATTAAGTAGTTATTAGAGTACAGCATGCATACATWTAAGAAATAATAGCAAATGGAGAACAAAGTGTGAAAAATGGCAGAACATGTTCTCTGTTGGACAGAATATCCTGTTTGCATTTATTTAATCTTTGTATAACCACACAAATACCACTGATATGTATTTTTAAGGGAAGGCCAGTGTTATGATTCTGTCACTGTTTGCCCTGATCTAGTCCCAGTTTAGTTTTATTATTTCATCTCTTGTCCCAGTTCATCCTCATTGTCTTGTTCCCAGCCTTTCAGCTCACATTCAGCTCCTGCTCATTGCTCTCTCCCCTCCCGTCACAGAAACTCTATCAAGCTCATTTCACTCACCTGTTTCCAGCAGTATATAACCCAGTCTCACTCTCCAGTTCACTGCCAGATTATCATCAGCCTTGCCTATGATCTTCCAGCATTCTTGTCCCTTGYCCTGCTCTTGCCTCATGTCCCGACCTTGCTCATGTCTCCTGGTTTAACGTCTCCTGCCTCAGCCCCTGTCGGATCCCGCCTGCCATCTGCTCTCATGGTAAYGAACTTTTTTCTGTCTCTTGGATTATTGTCACTCGCCTGCTCCCTGAACRGCACCGCGCCACATCGGACCTCTCGGATCTCGACCTCRGAACGCAYCACTTTATCAATGTCTCGGTCATCTCCCTCAAACCTGGTAACGTCCTCTGACCACCTGTGTATGRCCCTTGCCYYGTTTCTGACCACGAGTAAGTCCAGCGATCCAYTCRCTCCTCCTGACAACACAGCCCGGAACCAAAACACAACTGCTGTTGTTTCTACCCGGTCCTCATCTCAGCAGGAAAGGTTGGTGATCTTTTTCCTCACTAATTATATCGTGTTCCTAACCCAACCTAACCTTGACATTCTGTGTCCAGAACTGACGACCCCGGATTCCGGTCCCAACCTTCCAGCCAGATTTTCTAACAATAAACTTGTTAAAACGTTGACGTTGTTCGGTATTCATTCAGAGCTCAAAACACAAACCTTAACAGCCTGGGCCTCAAGGCAGCCTAAATATGCAGGTTTTTTGAACTGTGGGAGAATACCTGCAGAAAATGTCCTGATGCAATAATCATCCAGGTAGTAAACTTAAAAAAAGTTGGATTAGGTCCTCTGGGCAAGTTCTTCTCTGATGAAAAAAATGTCCCGTCTTCTCTCCAGGAGACTTCTTCAGTCTGTGGAGTTCCAGGTAAACTAAGCTTTATAAAGTGAGCGGTACTTCCACATGATTGACTAACAAGTTTTAAGGTGACGATTGGTAGTGCCCTGATTGCTGCTTATTGTTCATAGAGGGCTGAGTCATACCAACATAACAGCAACGTAAGAGGGGGACAACTGGACACGGAGGCCTTCACCCCTGTTTAACGACGGACAATTTCTCTTCACCAAAATGGCTTCCTTTACTCCTCACTCAAACCAACGTYCTTCCCTACCAAAGATGTGAACAACTTCCATTTCAGAAAGAGTGACAACTGGCCTGCAGATGAGTGTAAAYCAGAGTTCTRATTGGATGAYGTTGCTCTTYTGTGCTGGGCCTTTTTTTTAAATAGTGGTTATTTTGTTTCCCCAATTTATAACTTTTCACAGTTCTCCTGGACAACATTACTCTGTTTGTGCTGGGTATTACACAACCGTGTACCTGGAGAAAACCCAACAAAAGGAGAACATGCAAAGTCCACAAAGAAAATTCACAGCCCAAGGGGCTTGAACCCAGGACCTACTTGCTGCGAGGCAACAGTGCTAACCAATAAATTAATCATTGGTGTGAGCAGGCAGTCTGTTTCAGCAACTCTACTCTAATTCCATTTCTTCATTTTTTTTAGTTTATTTAGATGTGCTTCTGTGTCTTCTGTACACACTCTGGAGCTGACCTTTTTCTAGAAAACTTTATTTTCTTTACTTTTTTAAGCAGATTTTACATTTGGAAACTGCGTGAGTGACCACGCTCCTATTGTTTAYTCCGGGGACCAATGTGTTTGTGCTTCCAAGCTTTGTGTGTGGGAGGAGTGGGCAGACAGAGGAGCTGCTCCACTGTTACTGTTGTAGCATGAAGGACCTCTCCTTCTAACATGACCTCCTGATCTTACAGGTTATGAGTTATCTTGAACACAACTCAACACAAATGTTAATGGGCTCGGCACAAGGGGAKCGACAAATGACAGCGATTAATGCCTGTCAYTGCAACCAGGGTGAAACCCAACACACGGGACATGATGGCAACAGCAGCGTTGTGAATCGCACTCTTGGGCCACTTGTCTTCAAGTATCAAAAAGAAAAAAATAAGTAGGTCCTCTGGATGGGTTCTTCTTTGAAACGTTT